TACAATATTCTTATGGGAAATATTGCTTCAGTTTTCGTCAAGTTTGGTTTTCGTCAGACTTTCTGGAACGAATTAATTACAAAAACCAAGGTTCCAGATTGAGTCCCAGGCAAGTGGAGATACAGAGCAAGTCTCCTTACACTTGTTGCCCCTTTTCTACATAGCAGTAAATGGGTATAATATATGGTGAAGGGCTCTTAACTCAATGAATTGGAGCTACTCTCCACTTTCTTAGATCAAACCTAATTACCTTTCATTCCTTAGGCACTATATGACCCCTGTTAGTTCAACACTTCCACGTAAATATAATAACCATAAAGTGTCTAAAATAATTTCTATTTTAAATGAGAACAAGAAATCGAGAATACAGCTGTAAAAACCATATGAAAATACACCACAAAGTCAAAGTCACAGTTTTAAACCAAAAACATGGTTGTAGTTTTTTCTCATTATGCAGCAGCCATTTACTCACACAGACTATGGAGTTCTGACTTCTGCCACTTGCAAGCTTAACCTTTTAGTGGTAATACACTGGTTGATAGAGTGGATAGAGGAGCAATGTGGCAGATGTTGCAAGTTTATGGAATAGGTGGTAAGTTACTAAATGCTGTAAAGAGCTTTTATGAGGATAGTGAGGCTCAGGTTAGGGTGTGTAGAAGAGAGGTAGAATACTTCCTGGTAAAAGTAGGTCTTAGACAGGGATGTGTAATGTCACCATGGTTGTTTAATATATTTATAGATGGGGTTGTAAAAGAAGTAAATGCTAGGGTGTTCGGGAGAGGGGTGGGATTAAATTATGGGGAATCAAATTCAAAATGGGAATTGACACAGTTACTTTTTGCTGATGATACTGTGCTTATGGAGATTCTAAAGAAAAATTGCAAAGGTTAGTGGATGAGTTTGAGAATGTGTGTAAAGGTAGAAAGTTGAAAGTGAACATAGAAAAGAGTAAGGTGATGAGGGTATAAAATGATTTAGATAAAGAAAAATTGGATATCAAATTGGGGAGGAGGAGTATGGAAGAAGTGAATGTTTTCAGATACTTGGGAGTTGACGTGTCGGCGGATGGATTTATGAAGGATGAGGTTAATCATAGAATTGATGAGGGAAAAAAGGTGAGTGGTGCGTTGAGGTATATGTGGAGCCAAAAAACGTTATCTATGGAGGCAAAGAAGGGAATGTATGAAAGTATAGTAGTACCAACACTCTTATATGGATGTGAAGCTTGGGTGGTAAATGCAGCAGCGAGGAGACGGTTGGAGGCAGTGGAGATGTCCTGTCTAAGGGCAATGTGTGGTGTAAATATTATGCAGAAAATTCGGAGTGTGGAAATTAGGAGAAGGTGTGGAGTTAATAAAAGCATTAGTCAGAGGGCAGAAGAGGGGTTGTTGAGGTGGTTTGGTCATTTAGAGAGAATGGATCAAAGTAGAATGACATGGAAAGCATATAAATCTATAGGGGAAGGAAAGAGGGGTAGGGGTCGTCCTCGAAAGGGTTGGAAAGAGGGGTAAAGGAGGTTTTGTGGGCGAGGGGCTTGGACTTCCAGCAAGCGTGCATGAGCGTGTTAGATAGGAGTGAATGGAGACGAATGATACTTGGGACCTGATGATCTGTTGGAGCGTGAGCAGGGTAATATTTAGTGAAGGGATTCAGGGAAACCGGTTATTTTCATATAGTCGGACTTGAGTCCTGGAAATGGGAAGTACAATGCCTGCACTTTAAAGGAGGGGTTTGGGATATTGGCAGTTTGGAGGGATATGTTGTGTATCTTTATACGTATATGCTTCTAAACTGTTGTATTCTGAGCACCTCTGCAAAAGCAGTGATAATGTGTGAGTGTGGTGAAAGTGTTGAATGATGATGAAAGTATTTTCTTTTTGGGGATTTTCTTTCTTTTTTGGGTCACCCTGCCTCGGTGGGAGACGACCGACTTGTTGGAAAAAAAAAAAAAAAAAAAACTGGTTGAATTTATGACAGTAGGTAACTAGGACAAAATATGCAGATGTTTCGTACACCACAGACATTATACATTGTACACATTCTTGGTTTGATATATTCCATGGTGGACAAAACATTTTCATAAATAAAATACCATAACCCATATATTGTGCCTTATTTACACTTGACCTCTAGTCTCAAAACTGCTGCATATATTGAAAATGAGACCACAGTTGACTAGCACAGCTGCTGCAATTCAACTGTACACACAGTCTAACAAGTTAAGCTTTGTGTTATATTGTGACATACGTTACGGTTCTTTATTTATGTTTTCCATTAGTTTCAAATTTATTGCTTTAAATGACTATATTTTAAGCATTAATGTAACAAGAAGGATTGTTTTAGTTTATTTTAACTAGGTTTTATATTTTATATCTGAGTTTTCTTGCTCTTATGGTTGCTTTTTCATCTGAACACATCCCTTATGTATAATCTGTAGGAATACATAGTGTTTGTTATTTTATTGCACTGATGATGGATAACCGAGTTCTCCTAAAGTGGAACGATAAAGGTGAATGAGATGCTGAAACTTGTCTTGGTTGGTTGGTCCCTTCCTTCTTTCCCTGCTTCCCTTACTTTCCTCTCTCCCTACCTCATTCCCTCCCTCCCCACTTTCCTTACTTTCCTCCCTTTCTCTCCTTTTGGGTCTTTACCAAATTATTGTATATAAATATTTAACCAAAATATATGGTGAGAATAATGTATATGGTGTGCTTATTAGACATTTGGTCAAACTAGTCAAACTGTCCAAAAAATATATTCTCAAAACTTTTTCTCTTGTTCATTGATGGTTATAATGTTTTTTAATTAGCATGATATATAAAGTACAGCCTCTCCTCACTTAATGACATACTCATTTACCGACGACTCAGACTTACAACGGGCTCTCTGACCAGTATGCATACCTAAATAATGTATATTAGAGCTGATTTCCTCTGTTCTGATTATTACAATATACAGTACACTACTGTATAAACATTTAAAAATATACCAGAAATGTTATAAATGGGGCAAAGGTGACATTAAAACAATATCAACAATGGTTGACACAAACTCACTACCATTATAGTATGCTCCTCACTTAGTGGCAAATTCGCTTACCGACGTGGTCTTAGAAATGGAACTCTGTCATTAAGTGAGAAGAGGCTGTATTAATTTTCCATCAAACTAGCTGAGCAACCTCACAAATCCATTGCATGAGTGAATTTACGCTGAGCTAGTTTGACAAAGTGATCATTACTTTATAAGTAATGGCTACTGGTTCTGTCTAAAAATCATGACATATACATTACTACTTTGCTTTTCCTTGTGAACTAAATTATACAGATAAAGATAATTTCCATGACATATCGCTTGTAATTTTTGACATCTGTATAATTGGTAGGTATTCACCCATTATGAAACAGGCTGACTGAAATGTAACTAAATGCAGGTTGGTAAAGCTTAACAATTAAATAGTTTTAATTATAAACAAACTTGGAAAAGTGATGAACCTATGAAACAGTTTTGGGAAAAATGTGGTAAAATCTTTTAAGAAAATTCCATAAATTAAGGTCATTGTTTAAGTTTTCAATGTTTACAACATTAGGGCATTAAAACTGAATCTCCTTGGAAAGTTATTACTCGAGATATTACATGTGATATAAATAAGTGAGAACACCATATTTACTATTAGGTATCTTATTTCTTGTTTGCTAAAAACTCATAGCTAAGTTAATATGAATTGGCCCTATACATATAAGTGCCATACATGTCTTTGAATACATTTCTTGATCTGTACACCTGAACAGTTGGTTGCAACAGTCACATTTGAGAGGGCTTAGTAGCTCTTCATGAAACAGGTACATGATAGGGACCCTGGGACACACTGAGACACTGGTGTAGGACTCTTGGTGCATGGCTGTGTAGCTGTTTGGCGTCACTCGACTCTGGCGCCCGGGGCACTGGTGGTGGAGGCTGTCTAGATGTTTCACAATCATACAGGGAGCACTTACAGCTGGCATTTGCATTTTTAGGTGTCTTTCATAATCCTTATTGTTTAAAATATTTTATTTTCTTTATCTTAATGCTTTATGAATTGGTATGTACTGCATGTTTTACTCTTGAATCCTGAATTAGTGAGTTATCATTTGGTGTGAGTGTAGGATGTAAGTGTTCCCTGAGAGGTGGGAGCTGGCCAGTCAGGTGTTCTGGCAGGTCAACCCATTCAACTGTGTAGATGTAATAATTTTTCATCTCTAGCTGGCAGGATCACCTATTGTAAGCCTTGATAAATAATAGTAAAACTAGTCTCCTCATCTTTTTTAAGAAAACAAGCATTGTAGCCACTGAGTTTTGGTGACAATGGCTGATCTTACCACATAGAAATGGGTCTAGTCAGGTTTATATATTTCTTTTTTTAACTAAAGCTTTTGTAGTTTTTGTTACTTTGTGTTCCTTTCATCTATTTTTATACTTTTTTATTAAGAATAACATTTTCTTTGATAATATAACATGGCTATCTTACTGATATTTTAGTCACTAGTCATGATGGACTTTTTTGCAGAATTTGCAGAGTCCTTGTAGCAAATCTTCCTGACAAGACCCTGCAGACCTGAGCCACTTGAATTGGTTCTCAGCACACCATTGGTTGCCTCTTTGAGTGTTCTCTCGTGTACCTCTGTAAAGTTATGCGTAAATGTAAACTTCACATGCTACACACATACGGTCATGCTATTATTATTCAAGAGTGCGAAGTGGATTATATGTGCCACCTAAAAAAACTACCACACCTACATGGTAAAGCCTTTTGGTCAAGGGCCTGGCTTTAAGCTTTTGTTACTATTTTGTGATGACTAACTACTATTTCAGTATCACACGATTTTACTGTGTTTATGTTAATTTCATTCGTTTGACCAGTACATTTTAAAACATGTTTTCTTAAAATACACTTAAAGTTTTCAGTAGAATAATAAGTCTTATTAAAAGAGGGTTTTTTAGTATTTGTACCTCTCTCATTTCAGGACCAGAATGAGTCAGCTGCCATTTTAAAGATCAAGGAGAGTATGCAAGAAGAAGCGAAGCGATTTGAAAAGGACGTTCCACCAGATCATCCAGACTACTTTATGCCGTGACGTGACCCTCTCCCATCCCCACTTTACCCTGTGAACTAGCTCTCTTGGTTCCTTGCAGAACCTGCGACATGGCAGTAGTCTGGAGTTGGCCTTTTTCCTCATCCCAGATGCTGAGGACATGTCAAAACTTGGCAGTGAGGGCATTGTGTGAGTGCAGAAATGTGGTGACTTTGTCTGCACTGTGACAGTTTGCCACACAATTATGGTGATATGATTTTGTAAATGGTGGTGGAGTGATGATGGGACAAGGGGTCCTTACAAACTCGAGGAACTGGCATCTCAGACCTCAACACAATTCTCAAGTGAATCAAAACGCAGAACTCCTGTGATGGAGTGATATCCTACAGTGAAATATTACATGTGATTAGAAACACTAGTGATTTACCTTATGAAGTCTGAAAATGCAGCCTGAGCACTATACGAAAATGGTACAATGTATGAATTCTTGCATACACCGTATAATGAGAAGTGAAAAGATGGCTCTGATTTCTGCTATTTGATGATAAGTCTGTTGTCATTCATTGTGCTTTCTATGTGAATCTTGTAGGAAACAAAATTTATATTATTATTTAATATGTTTTCTTAATTTCACTCATTTAATACCCAAGATCCATAACCAGAAAAGCAGTATCGGGAGACTAGAGCAGCTTAGGGTAAGATGGAGATGTAGATATTTTCATAGACCGTCATTGCTCATGGGTGGTGTCCATATGCCTCAGTTGGACAACCAGTGCTGCCTGTCTCCTGGCTGGACCCTTGTAGGAGTGCCCATAGTTTTCTTATCTCCAAAGAAAACCTCCCCAGTCCCAGGCACCAGCAGTGACCCCACTACCACCAGCGTCACCCTGGGACGTGCTCCTGGGAAGGACTGGAATATGTCCTTGACCCCCAGGGTATTGGCCCTGAGCCAGCTGGAACCTACTCACTTTGGGCCCAGCACTCATGTACAAATCCCCCAGCCTGGGACCTCTGGGACCTTGGCACGTGATCTGCCCTCCACATGTGCAAAAGACAGCAATGTCTGTTCTCACTAGTATTACTCAGACTCTGTTCTGGCCTCAGGCCCAACTCATGTAATATCAGATGGGAAGTCTTTTATTCAGACTTTGTGTTAGCTTACCTACCAGACTGGAAGTGATGACCTGTCTCTGTTCTGTACAGATCTATCAAAGTGTTGTAGATGTAGGAATAATTTATTATTTGTCATGTCCAAATCTTTCTCTATTTCTTCTTGACTCCTTATGTTAAACTGTTTTAACCACACTGGCCACCCCTCCCCTTCTGTCCATGACCCAACCACCATTATTACCTCCTTTATCACTACCATCACCATTATCACTTTTGCCACCACATCAACGCCATTTCATTATCACCATTTCACTACTACCATCTCACTGCCACCACAATCACAATCTCAACACCACCACCATCCATCTCATTGCTGCCACCCACTTCACCACCACCACCACCCATCTCATTGCTGCCACCCACTTCACTATCACCACCACCACCTCTTCACCACCACCACATCACCACCACCACCACATCACCATCACCACCACATCACCACCACCACATCACCACCACCCACATCACCACCACCCACCTCACCACCACCACCACCTCACCACCACCACCACCACCTCACCACCACCACCACCTCACCACCACCACCACCACCACCTCACCATCACCACCACCACCTCACCACCACCACCACCACCACCTCACCACCACCACCTCACCACCACCTCACCACCACCTCACCACCACCACCTCACCACCACCACCTCACCACCACCTCACCACCACCTCACCACCACCTCACCACCATCCACCTCACCACCACCAACAACACCACTACCCACCACCTCACTACTGCCACAAGTACTTCCACAACCTGTGGTTCAGCAGTGTAACTTACTTCACTGCTTCCCATTCATCCAACGCCAAATGTAAATCACTGAAAATTATCCTCCAGGATGCACCGCCACCGCCAGACTCGACCAACACACCTGGGGTGCTAACTCTTCGTATGACATTCTTGTATTTAGAATCATCTTTGCTACATAATTGTATCATCAACTCATAACATATTTCAGAGAATCCTTTACTTTATATATGTGATACAGTAACCTACTATTAATTTATTGACTTGCAGCCTTGAACACGACTTCCTCACAAGACATGTAGACAGCTATGAGACACTTCACAGCCTAGGTTTATCTCGCATACTCATATACTATCTTCATCTAGGCCTAGGTCAAATCACCATTTCATCATAAAATGACTCATGACCCAGTTATACTAACTGGGTGTAGCCCTGGGTGTATGTCGCTCTGGTGGTGCGACCGTTCAGCCCAGTTTGTCTGTTCTGACCGACCCCTTGTACAGTAGAACATAGCAGATATATTATGTGTAGCAATTTTCAATAAAATGGCTAAGGCAATAAGAAATTAAAAATTGAAATTATCCTTTTTGCAATCCTTTACATTTAAAAATATTAAATTTACAGTAGTACTGTACCTTTCAAGATAGGACTTGGAGTGTTCTCTTTGGACGGAGAATAAAAATGTACTGTAAACCTCATACAATGTGATTTCACATTGCACAATTTGGTTGCAGCTCAACTCAAAAAAGTGTAACTCCCCAAAAAAAAAAAAATCAACATGAAAATATTAATGCTTCTGGCAGTAAAAGTTAAAAGTGATAAAAAATTTGTGTAGTATATTCCATAATTTTTTTTCAGTTTTCTCCACACACCCACGAACTGTGCAGCTTCCCTTGTTCTTGCTTAGCAAGAACAAGTCATATCCTCTAGACTGTTTTTCCTTTAACTAATGTGTTCCATAATTTTTGTAGCTTATTAATGTGTAATTTATATAAAGTTTAACATTCATTGTGCATGACCTTAATGGAGGCACAGTCATTACACTGTTGGACTGCCCAAACACATCGATATATTCTAAAGGTTCCCCAAAATATGTTAGGTATGACAAAGTAGTGTTATTTGGGCTAATAATATGGGAGGAAATGTTTAGGCAAATCTTTTGACAGCTGCTGCCCCTGTTCACTTATTGACACAGTGCATTCACTTTCTCAAATCCCTGCCAACTTTGGTTTTTCTTGAGCCATAGCATGTGGTGTAAGTGACTCATTTCTTTTTCCTCCATTAAGCAAACTAGCTGCTCCACATGTATATTATATACAAGTCATGTATATGTATACTGAAAAGTTAAGTAAAGAAATTAGTAATTTCATAATATTACTGGGAGCCAAATTCAGATAGCAACTTTTCACACTTCCCTAACAGTCTCCCACACCATTCTATTACAGTATTACTGCATTCATTTTTAACACATTTTTACTTGATGTAGGTGTGAGACTTTTTGGTAAAGAAATCTGGCTTTTCATTATTATTATGTACACACACTGAGAGACCCACCTGATACTGTCTCATATTTTTTACTAATATATTTTCTTGGCTCTTGCCTATCAAATGTGCAAGATGCTTTGAGAGTTTAAGAAGCATAATTAACATTACAAAGTTTTCTGGAGAGAAACCATACCACGGGTGGGGTTTGAACCCGCGTGTTCAAACCCCACCCGTGATATCGTTCGTTTGCATTCGTGTCATTACGATTTCGTGAGTCATGTTTTCTGGAGAGACTATGTCTACTGGTTAAGTAGTTGCATTGGCTACACCCACTGCAACCCAGTAGGCTCACATTAACCCTCCTCTTACTCTTCAAATTCTTCAACTAACAACTAACAGAATGTGAGTAAAGTTATTCTGTAGTAATTGATGACTAAGACAATATAGTAAAAAAATGGGTGGCAGATTAAGAGGTGTCTTGAACATAACCCCATTTTTCTGATGCTGTATAAGTTTTGCTTTACATAATACTATTTTACCAAATGTTCCAATATATTCAGATATGTAGTCCATCCTTTATGACATGATTTACTGCTGTATATGTAGAGGATACTTGAGCATCTGGTGCTCACTGTGCATATCGCCATAACAATTTAATGGGGTGAGAAATATGGGTGGAGATGTAAAATAAACTCAGTGAAAGGCAGGTGTGCCATATGCCCAATTAAAACACTGTGCCAACCTTTGTAATCCCCAATTATCGAACTTCAAATATTATCACAACAAAGGTAAAAAAATTTCAAGAGTAAACTGGATCACTATTTCTTACAAGTGACTGATCAGCCAAGTTATGTTGGTTATGTAGACTGCTAAGAATAACAGCCTGGTTGACCAGGGGTGAGCAGGGAAGCCTGGTTTCAAGCTCAATTGTGAGGTTAGGATAACCCCTGAAATCAGTCACAGATATATCTCTTTGAAATGATGTACATAGGAAGTGTTGCTATATGAAATGATATACTCAACATAGATTCATATCTTGAGTTTTGACATAATAATTGCATGGTGGAAGATGTGCAGTCCTACAGGCCACTCACTAACAGCAACAGCCTGGTTGTGACAGATTCACAATAATTAGTGACATGTTTATCAAACAATAGGTATTTTTAAAAGCAAAAGGCATTTTTAAAAGCAATAGGCATTTTTAAAAGCAATAGGCATTTTTAAATGCAGCCTGATGAACATAATTTGATCAATGAGCCTTGGAGTGATTTCATAAGATACTGCAAGTGCCAAGTAACTCTACTGACTATCTTTGAGTATTTTGAGTTGGTGGACTGTGATTAAGAACAAGATTGTTTTTATCTGGATGGCAGTAAGTGAAAAAAAAATTATTCTATTTGGCATAGAGTTTGTATAAATGGGAGATGGGGTATTAAATTGCATTCCAAATGAATCATTTTTTTTTTTACACTTGAATTTTTAGGTTAAGAGTTGTTATCCTACTTTAGCTAAGTTCAAAGCCTAGATTTATCTAAGATATAATACCATGCCCCAGGATACGATCCATAACAGTTGCCTAACATGTAGGTATTTATTTACTGCTAGGTGAATAGGGCAGCAGATGTAAGGTAAAATACCCACTGTCTCCACCCACCAGAGGATCCAACCTGGATCCTTAGACTGAGAGCTGAAGGCACTGCTACTGACCCATGAGACCCATTTCATTCACAGTTTACATAAACAACCAAGCTGAAGGAATAAATAAACACAAGGAAATTTACCGAGGGCAAAAATAGGGCAACATATTAGTTAGAAAAGCTGCAGATATAGTTCAATGTGACATATATAATGTTCTAATCCTAGAAAACTAAAATATCTTTTGTAACTATAAACTAAATAATGTAGAGTCAAGGCAAAGCAAATTTGAAAGTTAAGGTTAGCAAAAATCTGAAGCCAAGGCAGCAGATAGTGTATACAGTAAGAATAATATTAATAATAATAATAACTTTATTTCTCTGAGCCATACAAGGAATGCAGTAGATATATGTGAATTAGTACAAAAGTAGGCACAAACAAAGACCACTAATTAGGCAATGCATTTTGGGGACACTAATCATAAGGCTTACATACTATGTACATACTTAAAAAACTAAGCCTAGCATATTATGTAACCCTTCTTGCATAGTTTACTACAATCATAAATACAATAAGAAAAGTTGCAAATGACAAATAGCCTATTTTAAAAGAATGCATATTATTTAAATTGGTTTAATGATCTTCAGTTTTATGGAGTAATTGAATAGATGTGATGAAAAAACAGTATGACAATTCATAGTTAATGGAAATTACATTTATGTGAGATTTATAGGTGCTTATTTGACAGTATTAGTAAAGAATTTGGCAGCAGATGGGGACTTTTGATATTTTCATGCAGAGTTCCTTGGGTTACTGCAATATATGAGATAGTATATTCTTATCTAGTAATATATATGGGAGTTGAAGGAGAGCTGGAACAAGAACAGGGACAAAATTTTATGAAAGCAAGTTTGACACTGTATATTGCTGCCAACTCCACATTAAGGTAAAGAGGTGCTTTTTAACAGTAGCTTTGAAGTGGTTGGCTGATAGGGAACCTTTGAAATTTTCAGTTTTTCAGATTTTAGGGTCTTTTATGCCCATTAAATTTTTACACAGGTTGAGCCAGACATAGGGATATCAAAGAGATTTTTGTGTCTTGTATTATGCCTATAAGTTCTGTTGCAGCTATAAAGAAAGAGTTCAGAGCACATTTATATTAGAATTGATTGTCCTGTGTATATAGCATGCACAGTAGTATGAGTAAATATGTATAATGAGTAAGTTTAAGCTATTGGAAAGTAGGGAAGTGTGTTATCTGGCACTAGACTAGGTAATCATTCTTGCAGCTACTTTTTGTTTAGTTATTGTTGGCTTTATGTGATTTGCTTTAGTAGATCCATAGGCACAAATAGCATAGGCGAGGTAAGGTTAAATTGAAGAGTAGCACGATGTAATTAGTGCTGTTTGAGGTATGTATACAGTAATGTATCTTAGAGAGGATGCCAACTGATTTGAATATCCTTTTTGTTCTGTGCTGAATGTGAGTATGTATTGAATTTCAAGTTGCTGTCGAGGTACAGACCTAAGAATTTTCCCTCAGTAGGCTTCATAAATATCCACGCTCATAAGTGCATCTCTAGCAGGCACTTTTCTTGACGTATTTTAAAAGTGGCAGGACAACTTTTATATGGAAGACAGTGTCCCTTGCCATACTGCCAAAGACAAAGAATAGGCTAAATTATATGGGATTTAAATCTGATAACAAATATTTGGAAACTTACTAATCATAAGCTTTGTGGCACGGATATATCCTGTAATCTAAAAATCTCAATTGCCATTGAGCAGGTGTGAGAGGGTAGTGATTTTTCTATCTTCCAAAGGTTAGCCTTATCAGTGCCTATGAGACTAGGAGTGCATCAAGACAAAGAGTAATCCTACAACATACTAGTTTATGTGAGGCACACATATGTATTTCAGTATTATATATTTAAAGCAATAAGTTATGGTGAGAATCTCATTGTCTGTGTGATCTGCTTATGCATGTGCATATTTATGATGCCTACTGTGTTTGAATAAGTGTAATAGACTGCTGCCTTGAGCCAAGGAATTGGAACTGACCTCTCCTTGGATCAAATCTGATTGCCTCCCATTTCCCCTTTATAATGCAATAATAGTTATAGACTGTTTTGTATCATTAAATAAGCACATTCCAAGGGTTATACTGAAATGACATATTGTTAGCTAACTTTCAGTAAATTTGTGTTGAAGCTCCATCCTCACATATTAAAATGGATCATACAGGCACTTAAAAACATGGAAAGAAGAATAAAGGATCTTTCCAAGGAGGATACACTGAGAATGCTGCCTCCTCTTCAAAGAAGTTTAATGGAGAGGTAAGTGTGAAGTGTACAAATATTTAAAGAGACTGTAAATAAGGTGGGAAGTACAGTGTTTCACTCTGAAAAATGGCTGGGGAAGTTGCTGTTTTGAGGGTCAACTGAATTGCGATGTTCATCAGACCAGGATGTTACCCTGTCAGCCTGACCCGGATGTTACCCTGTCAGCCTGACCCGGATGTTACCCTGTCAGCCTGACCCGGATGTTACCCTGTCAGCCTGACCCGGATGTTACCCTGTCAGCCTGACCCGGATGTTACCCTGTCAGCCTGACCCGGATGTTACCCTGTCAGCCTGACCCGGATGTTACCCTGTCAGCCTGACCCGGATGTTACCCTGTCAGCCTGACCCGGATGTGACCATGTTAGTCTGACCTGGATGTTACCCTGTCACTCTGGCAGACCCGGATGTTACTCTATCAGCCTGATAGACCAGGATGTTACCCTGTCAGCCTAACACAAGGATATTACCCAGACAGACCAGGAAGTCACCCAGACAGACCAGGATGTCACCCTGACAGAACAGGATGTCCCCCTGACAGACCAGGATGTCCCCCTGTCAAACCAGGATATCACCCTGACATCTGGATGTCACCCTGACAGACCAGGATGTCCCCCTGACAGACCAGGATGTCCCCCTGACAGACTAGGATGTCCCCCTGACAGACAAGGATGTCACCCTGTCAAACCAGGATATCACCCTGACATCTGGATGCCACCCTGACAGACCAGGATGTCACCCTGACAGATCAGGATGCCCCCCTAACAGACAAGGATGTCACCCTGACAGACCAGGATGTCACCTTGTCAATCCAGGATGTCAACTCTGACAGACCAAAGTATCACCCTATCAATCCAGGATGTCCCCCTGACAGACCAGGATGCCACCCTGTCAAACCAGGATATCACCCTGACAGACCAGGATGTCACCCTGACAGACCAGGATATCACCCAGAAAGCCTGCCCATGGTGTTGAGTGAACATAAAAGTAAAAGAAAAGTCAGTCTATGCAGGCAATCATTTTCTGTTGACAGTTATAGAATTTACATTAAAAAATCAGAGAGAGCAAGCAAGCAAGTAGTGTGTAGTCGAGCATAACAACTTGTAAACATAATTGTTTAATGATTTTAATATGTGATGGGGGACTCGCACGTATGAGGCACAGTGCCCCAGTACTTTAGGAGAGATATCCAATACATGCATTGGACATCTCTCCTAAAGTACTGGGGTATGTGCAAAAAATACAGGATTATCAAGGCATTTATTGAGGACATGGCTTGTCCACCAGGAGCTTCTTCAGTCCAGTGACTGTAAAAGCCCCTGGTGGGCGAACCGTATGCCCAATAAATGTCTTGATAATCACATACGTGTCTCATTACGTTAATCACAAGGTTTGACGAAGACTACTAGGTTATGTAAAGGTGGCCACACCTTAAAGCGTCAAAAGAAGTCCTGGATATCTTCCGAAGGTGAGTACACTTAAGTACTGCTAGTAGTGAGGAAATGGTATGGTAATACCGACAAGATGTGGAGAAAGACACTTATGTACAGTTCAGGATATTTATTAAAAGAATCGTTTCGCCACAAGTGACTTCTTCAGTCCTAATACAGAGAAAACTAAGAAAACGCGTATAGTGCCACTATACATACACGTTTTCTTAGTTTTCTCTGTATTAGGACTGAAAAAGTCGCTCATGGCGAAACAATTCCTTTAATAAATGTCCTGAACTGTACAGAAGTGTCTTTTTCCACACTGCTAGTAGTCACAGTGGCACAGACAAGGCATGACGTCGATGAGAGACATTTAGTCAAAAGATGAAGTACAGTGGACCCCCGCATAATGCTATTAATCCGTTCCTGAGAGCTCAATGTTATGCAAAATTATCGTTATGCGAATTAATTTTCCCCATAAGAAATAATGGAAATCAAATTAATCCGTGCAAGACACCCAAAAGTATGAAAAAAAAAATTTTACCACATGAAATATTAATTTTAATACACACAAACTTAAGAAAACATGCACAGTTACATGACACTTACCTTTATTGAAGATGTGGTGATGATTGATGGGATGGGAGGAGGGGAGACTGGATGGTTTTAGTGTTTAGAAGGGGAATCCCCTTCCATTAGGACTTGAGGCATCAAGTCCTTTTCCGGGGTTGCTTCCCTTCTTCTTTTAATGCCACTAGGACCAGCTTCAGAGTCACTGGACCTCTGTGCACAACATATCTTTCCATAGTGGCCTGTACCTCTCGTTCCTTTATGACTTTCCTAAAGTGTTTCACAACAGTGTCAGTGTAATAGTCACCAGCACGGCTTGCAATAGCTGTCTGAGGGTGATTTTCATCCATGAAGGTTTGCACTTCAAGCCACTTTGCACAGATTTCCTTAGTCTTTGAAGTAGGCAACTTCTTCAATTTCTCTCTCCCCTCCTCCGAAGCAATTTCCTCAGGTGTGGCCTCTTGCTGTTGAAGTTGATC